CGGGCCATGGCGGCCGTTTAAAGGTAACCGATTGAGCAGAACGGGAGCCCCGGATTTTTGCACCGAATTCCCCCTTCCCCGCTCCGCCGTGTTGTCAGAGTGTGATAAAATTCCGGATTAGGGTTTAGGGGAGGAGAAGGAAAGGGAGAAACGCCTGGAAATTCCTGCGCCTCCCGTGGACGCTTCAGGCCGCGCATCTCCTATCCAGCCCCTCAAAATAAGTATTTAGCCTTCGAGGAGGGGAGTTTTTCTTACGCCCCTGCGCCTTGCAAAAGGAGCCCACCTATATTTACCCCCCACCCCCCCGCTGATACTGAGGGAAGTTCCAATCTTACCTGTAAAAGTAGCCCTTCCCATAATACTTTCTCCACCCTACTCATTTTATTAATGAAGAGTAGGTGGAAGGAGCCCCTTAATTTCAACTGCTCTCTCTCTCTGAATATGGGGCCACCTTATTCCCAGAAAGGATCGGAGGAAAGCTGCTAGGCGAGCGAGATACTTGGGAGGGAACCCGTTAGCTTCCCATTTCCAGCGTACAAGACACAACATCGTGTGTTGTATCCGGCTCCTCCTGTAGACTGGCAAAGGGGGAAGCCGGCAACCTTTCCCACGTTCTTGGGGGAGGTTGCTTCCCAGTGAGGGGATCCACTAGATAGGGAAGATTGCTTGCTCGCTGTTCCTCATTTGGGGAGATCGATTTGGGAACTGCATTGGTCAGCCCACACGCTTCCTCTCTACCATTCTTGCTGGGAGGGCGAGGAAAGACGTAATCCCCTTCCCCGATTTGTGCCCCCCCCCAATACCCACTGGGCACCGCTGTGTCCGTTGGAAGGAAAGAAACCAAAAGCCACCTTTTACGTTCCTCCTTCCAGGGGAACCTTTGGGGGGAAAGGGTGAAGCAAACGTACCCCTCCCCCCAATCCTTGCAGAAGAATCTAAGACTGATCTAAGCGGATCAGCCGCATTTATTAGGAAGCGGCCCCTCCATTCTGGAGAGCCAGCAGGGCCCCCGCTTCGCTTTTCCTGCATCAGCAGGGCTGGCACTCCTGTAGTCTGGAAAAAGAAGCAAGAAAAGCAAAGAGATGGTTCTTGCACTAGCGGCAGGGAGCAGTGAAGGTTGGTGAGTCGGGAGGACCGGCCGGGGGAAGGTGGTGTAGGAAGAAAGGGAGGCGATGGGTCTTGGTGGGGCGGGTGGCGACGACGGCGGCGCCCCCCGAGGGGTCCAGGTGGGGAATTCGGACCGGCAGCGGAGAGGAGAAGGGG